AAGGGTGTATATTCGATATTATTTATAATTAGGATAATTGAATAATTGTTAGTCAAGGAAATTGTATAATTTTCCTTTTATTTACACTTTTATATGAATACATCGTGGCAAAGAACACGGGCTACTCCGAGAGTGATCTGACTGATTGTGTTAACAAGCATTCGGCAAAGCCAGCACTAAATCAGTAATTTCAACCAGAAGAGCTTCGGAGCTGTAAGCTAGCTGTACCGGGCCCGATCACCACAATTCCTTGATAGAAGGAGATACTTCAGTTTGGAATATTTCGACCAGAGGCTACCAGTTCAAGATGAAATTCTTGACACTTTCCGTCGCAGCTTTTATCGCTATTCAAGGAGGTAAGCGAATAATTTTTTTGGTCCTGAAATAACATTACTTAAATAGAGGATATTACATGGCCATGAGATACGAGATTTCTCGTCTCGTGTTGAAAAAAATATTTCACTACTCGAAGAGGAATTTCGTATCTCCAAGCGACCATGTAATGTTCTATTTATTATCTAAATACCAATGAAATGCCAAACCATTTTAGGGCCTGTTTACATGGAGGTGGGGGACCCCAGATAGGTGAGGTAACGTGCGGCGGGTCACCCACCAAAGCGGGTTACCTTACCTTTGCTTAAATAGTTTCTTTGGTCTGAAAGGTGCGATTTATTATGAAGCCATAGCAATGGTGATATTTTCACATGTGAAGATAACATGTTATTTTCACATGTGAAGATATCAAGTTTTCGCGCAACAGCTCACTTGGTATTTCATTGGTGTTTCTATAATGAATTTAATTATATGCATGCTATGGATTACGTTCTAGAAAAGTAATTGAAAAAAAGAAAGATATTTTCGGAGCTGCAATTTCATTGCTTGAGTTTTTCGTAAGTTAGCTTTGGCCCCCTCTAACTTGGGTTGTTTGTTTACACGTTTCAGACCATGTGAACTAGCTAGCCCCCTCTCGATCACTCATTGCCAAGGTTTAATTCGTTTTACTGAACTGTCTCTCACTGTAAACAAAGTTCTCTGAAAAAAACCGTATTTAGCAGTCAACTGCAGATTGCACACACTCAAGGTTCGGCGTACTAGATATAGTGTGACCTACGGTACAAAGGATCTCAATATCAATTCCTCTTGTCTCAATTTATCCTTCCTTGGCTTTTCAGAAATATTGTTATAATGAAACAAAATGAGTTACCGTTCCAGTACTACCAATAGTTTCCTTTCTTGTTTTAAAATAAACCTACCTCTCTAAAACCTCTCTTTCCCACAAGCCTCCAAACAAAAAACGAATCTCAGACCGGGTCCATAAACTGAGCATGTTCCTTCGTATGGCTCCACAATTTTTGCTTTTTTTTAGCAAAAATAGGAACACTGCTACCAATAGCATCAGTAAACAAGACTTAGAAGTAGCTTCAAAGCTTGAATTAATGTGAGGGATTGAAATTGAAGCATTTTGAGATGCTGTGCAGTAAGGCACAGGCACAGACACAGTAAGGCAGTAATTGAAATTGCCGTGAGCAAATTGAAATTGCCGTGAGTAAATTGAAATTGCTGTGAGCGAATTGAAATTGCCGTGAACAAATTGAAATTGCCGTGAGTAAATTGAAATTGCCGTGAGTAAATTGAAATTGCCATGAATGAATTGAAATTGCCGTGAACAAATTGAAATTGCCGTGACACTTTTGGGCCACCGTACTGTGCGGATTCATATACACGAGGCTTTTATTTTCTCTTGACGAGCTTTTCCCCTTGACACGAGCTACAATGAATAAGTAAAGGTAAGGTAAACTAAAGGCGCACACCAAAGGCCCACACGGCCAGAGCTTATTTCCGGTTTCCGTAGCATGAAGCAAGCCTAGGAGTATTGCTTCTCCCCCCTGGATAGAATGCTAGTCCATCGCAGGGTTACCCCCCAGCAGTATATCGCTGGTACACGTTTATACACCTGGGTGAAGAGAGACAAAGTGGAGTAAATTCAATTTCCTTATCTAAAGAAACAACGCGACGAGGCGGGGGACGAGGGTGGGGCTTGAACCTAGGCCTTCAGATCCAGAGTTCGAGGCGTTCCGGTCCCCCGAACCGCACGGCCACAAACGCCTTCAATGTATAAGTAAAGAGAAGAGAAAATAGAACTGATTTTAAGGCCGATAGGGACCTCTAATTATTCGGCGAAGCTAGCTGTTTTTTTCAGTTGTCCTGAAACAATTAAAAATATTGTTTTCCTTATTTTCATTTCAGCTGTGGCCATAACATGCTATAAGTGCCCGCTTTTGGACGCAAACACTACATATATGAGCTTGTTTCAACAAGGACAAGTTGAGGGAGTCTGCAGTAGCCCCACGTATTCTGTCAGCTGCAAAGATTCAGATTTCGGGCACTACTCTGACGCCTGCCATACAGCTACTATCCGACTGAACGTATCATACAAGCATATTGGCCTGGTCAAGTTTAACAAATTGAGCTGCGGAGTGAAATTAATTTGCGATATGCTGACCAAACAGTTGTGTAATGCTTTCAAAGGAAACCCTTATTGGACTGTCTTAGAATGTGTTGGCAGTTGTTGTGAAGATAATTTCTGTAACCAGCCCATGAATCCTTCATCAACCTACGTCCCACCAAATACCGCCATGTTAGGTATCTTAGGCGTAACTGCAGTTGTTTTAGCCGATTTGAACGTAGACTAAAGATCCAAAAGATTTAGCTGAAGATTTAGTAAAGCCTGCGTAGCTAGCGGGATTGTTATGCGCAGAGTTACGTATTTTCTTGGCGGGAGCGGCGAAACCGCGAGAAATTTTCGCGAGCGGCTCCTACAGCACTCACCCGATAATCCTGCAGCTACGCGGGCTAGATTTAGTGAGATTAGCTTTTGCCTTTTTTTAACACTTATGCTTATAGCTAAGAGGTGTAAGTGTTGACGACTAAAGAACTGTCTGTTTCTTTTGCCTTTTTTTCTGGAAACAACCATTTTGGCTCACAACACGAAATAACACATGTGGTCACAGGGTAAAGTCCTAGTTTTTATGAAACGACTCCTATTTTTGTTGTTCAATTATATGTAATGCGTTTTACTGACAAAAGGCTTACGTCAGTATGTCAGTGGCACAAAAGTTCAGTCGTCCTAAGCTTTTGAATGTTTTTTGTACTTTTCTTGCGAAAATAGAGCATTTATTTTTTAATCTAGATCTATCTGTTCAACTAGTGATTCAATTAAATGCCAGCAATTGTGCTCAGTGCTAAGTGTCCCACGCGCATTTTTAAATGTGATAAAGGCAGATCGAGAGATTTTGTGAAAGAGATCTCGTGTGAAGTTTGACCAGTCTGAATCAACACCGGTCCACAGCCGTTATTCCCGGCTGACTCCAGGTCTAAAGAACGGCTAAGCCGATCCAAATTCAATGTTTTGAATTGATTCAGACACTGTGCTTCACACGAAGTCAATTCTGTCATTGAATTCAATTCGCCTAATGTAAAGTACGGCGTCTGTACCGCGGGCCTTACAGAGTAAAATGCGCACACAATGTACATGTTTATATACCTTGTTCCCAAGTTTAAACCTAACACCATTTTGTGACGTTACTCAAGCACTAGTCCTCCGGCATCTCTTTTGAACATAGCCAACAAAGATGACTTTTCCCCAAGGAGAGATTGCGACCTTCCTCAATAGCCCTATGTAAAGCCACTCAGTATTCTGAATGCTCCGGTCAGGAACCGACTGGTCCTGTCCTTCTGACGAGTTACCCCAAGCTCTCTGAGAATGAGTTGAACAGGGAGGGGCATGAGGGCATATGGGGTTCTCCTCAGAAAAATGGCTTAAATTGCTCAATGCAAGGGAATCCGGATTCCCAAATCCGGGAAATTTTTACTATTGGAATCCGGGTACCCAGAATCCAAAACTGTCTTGGATTCCTTTACATGGGGCCATTCAAGCCCTTTGAGATTGGGATTATTTGTCATTGTCAAAAAGACAGCTGCAAGACAGGTTTATTAGGACAAGGATACCGTCATAAAAAGTGCAGAAATATGATAAGCGATAATCATCGAACATGTACAGTTTTGCAAGTATTTTATACCTTAACTTTTCCGTAAGGAGATCGAAAACCAATAATCTGAGCGTGCCTCAAACTTCGGAGATACAGTATACCACAGTGACTTTAAACAGGAAAGCCCAAGAAGAACCACAATTCCGCTCTTTAGATGCAGAAGAATACATCTTAAGTGGTTTATGTTTTCTGTTCTTCTTCTCATGCTTTCTTTATCCCTTAAAGGGTCTTTAAAGCGATACCTATAGGCTCCATATATTCACGAATCTTCAATTTTTATACCCTTAAACAAGACTATTAACACTGGATAAGCTTCCCGGCTACTTATCTATGGGAATCTATATGAAAAATATCTTTGCGTGAATACTAGCCTAACTGTATGAGATCCTTTCCTGTGTTCGTGACCGGCTGACAATAATTCAATGCTATTTCCCCCCCCCGCTTAATTTTACTCCTCTTCCATGCATTCGCGCGCCTTTTATCATTTTTTAAAGGCTGCAGTTTGGTGGCCGAAAGCTTATGCTTTTAAAAAACGTTTTTAGCCAGAAACAGTTTCAGTGCGTATTTGTTTTTTGTTCATGTTGTTTTCGTTTGATTATTTGTGTAATTGTTTGTTCATGATGTAGAATCCTGGCTACTCTTTCAGCTTTTTCCATTTTTACAGAGATCCTTTTAATTACTTTATCGGGTCAAGTAAGTAGCCAGAGAGCTAAGTGAAGACCTTATTTTAAACGTTACATATCAGTGTGAAGTAGCTTTAATTCATACCGCTTCAATCAATCAATAAATCAAACTTTACTTTATGAGGGTAACACGTACATATCAGTTATGATCCGCAAACACTTCTAGCAAAAGTAAATGATTTAACATTACATTCTTTGAAATTAAACGTAGCACTTTTTCGGGGTGACAATTCGGGAGACAGTTGTCACATGTTTAATCCTGGAAACTTCAAAAGTGGAAGAAGCAGACAAATAGGGCCGTACCGAAAAGGACCAAGGCTATCTTGTTTGTGGAAGGTTGTCCAGTTGGAGCTCCCTTCGATGTGCGCCCGAGTTTTTTTCTCAGGCGGGGGATGTCGTCGGTAACCAATGCCGATGCACTGTTTTGAATCAGCATATCGAGAATTTTGTCGTCCTTAG